TTTTCTCTCTATATCACTCACTCCCAGCTGCCCACTGCCCACTGCCTAGCCGCAAGAAAAAGAGAAGAAACAGAGAAAAGTTCAACACATAAGAAGCTCGGTTCCTTGAGTTTTTTTTGTCCTTCCTTGCACCAACCTATAAAATTATTTTATACATTATATTTACCCCCTAAATTTTTGAAAATTTTAATAATGGTTATAGTTTTTTTTTAATAAATTAGTGGACCATTAACCCACCCTCTAAAATAAATATGTTAGTTTTGGATTGAGTTAATATTTTTTTTTGTATATTGATGAAAATACAATATTTCTCTTTATCTACCACAATATTTGTTACTTTTTAAGAATAATTTTTAGTTTTTATCTATCATTTTTTTAGTAATAGTAGTCTATAACTTAATAAAATACGAAAATTAATTTACATTTAATTCATATAAAAAATTTTAGAGATTTTAAAAAAAATTATATTTTATTGAAATATATAATTAGGTTAAAATGTACTAAAAAAATTATTTTGTGTCTTTTTGTTAAGATTTTATTTCGGCTAAATAAAAATTGGATTTACTATTTCACAATAATTTAATGTTGATTCTTACTTTTTTTTTAATTTTTGAACTGAATTTTTTTGTATTAATTTTGGCTTAATTTTTTTTATACTAGTTATATTTTGCCATTATCATAGATATCCATGGCTCTGCCCATGCCAATATATATATTTTTTTTGAAATTATTTATGTTAAATGGACTTCATATATCAATTATAATATAATAAATATAAATATGTTACATTGTGTGATTAGTTAGAAGAAAAAAATTAGAGTGCATAATTAAAGTGCCCACCTTGAGCAAAATTTCTGGCTCCGTCCCTGGTCATGTATATTTGTATCACATACTAAACATGGTATACAATTTTTTTTGGACACCATTACCACAAGTGTCAATCTATATCAAAATACTAGTTATTGTTCATGCATAAAGGTATAAAATAATAAAAAAAACATAGTCAACAATTAACATATCTGTATTCACACTCAAAATCAAATCACAAACATAGAGAAGAGAGAAAATAATTTAAGTACTGATTTTTGTGGGGGTGAGTGGTGGTGGGTAACAGTGGTGATGGTGGGAGACAGTGCTGGTTATGGTGGGTGGCGACGATTGTGGTGATGGTGGCAACTGTGAGTGGCAACGGTTATGGTGGTGGTGGGTTTTGGGTGACGATGGTGGTAATGGTAGCCATGGGAGACAGTAGTGGTGGTGGTTGTTGACAATGGTGGTGATGAGGCGACGACAGTGGTGGTGGCAATGGTGGGTTGTGGTGGTGGGCAGTGATGGTGATGGTGGTGGTAGGCGACAACGGGTGCTTTTAGACAACAGTATGATGGGTAGTAGCGAATGATGGTAGTGGTAAGTGTGGTGAGGGTGGGTGATAATGGGTGGCAACAGTGGTGGTGGTAGGTGTGGTGGGGTTGGGTGACAGTGGCTGACAGAGATGGTGGGCGACGACAGGTGGTGGTGGTTGCAGACAATGGGCGTTGGATGATGGCAATAATAGTCTTAAATATAAGAATAAAATGACGATGATGGTGAGTGACAATGGTAATGGTAGTGATGATGGTCGTGGAGTTGGGGGGTTGTTGGTAGGGGTGATAGTGGGACAGTGACGTTGGTGGTAGGGTGCGACAGTGGTGGTGGTGGTGGTGATGGTAGTTGGGATGATGGTGGAGGTGGAGGTGGTGGGGCAGTTGGGCGGGTGATGGTGGTAGGGTGGTGGCAGCAATGGTGTTGGTGGGACAGTGGAGGGGTGTCAGTGGTGGTAGAGTGGCAGCAGCGTTGGTGGTGGTGGGACGGTGGGGTGATGGTAGCGGTGATGGTGGTGGTGGGTCAGTGAGGGTGTGTGTGGGGGTGGGGCAGTTCGAAACACCACTTTCTTTTTTTAAAAAAGTACTTATAAGAAATTATAAGTCTTACAAGTACATTTAAAAATTCACTTTAAACACACCTTTAGAGGCCTATTTTCTTTATTAAATTTAAGGTGTTAATATTAGCTATCAGATTAATTTTAAAATAAAATTTAAAAAGATCTCCACCGTGAATAGTAAAAATTATTTTATTTATTTTTTAAATTTGAATTGTATTATACTTTATTATATGAATTGACTTGACATGATTTCTAATGTAGTGAAATGATGTGTGGAGATGGCTCTTCCAAGAGCCAAGTTCTTTACTTCTCATGTGGGACCTAGCAATCCTATCAGATGTTTACAATCCTGTTGCTCGTCATCGTTTGGAACAAATGAAGATCAAGATTCGCAACAATGATAGAACTCGTGTTTTACTTGGTTGAGATCTCAATCTTTTCTCCATCAGACGAAAACATATTTATGATGCTCTGTTGCAACTATATTTAATAGTAATCATCATAGAGGATGTCGTTATGAGTGTAGAAATTTTTTATGAAAGTTATTTCACCTAGTTTGGATGGTTACATTAATAAAGAAGGCATGGTTATTTGATTATCATGAAATTTATGAGAGGAAGGTGTGTTTGGAGGTATACAAACTAAAGGGAATGACTTCTCATTAGTGGGAACATGTGAAATTGTCACGTGCAAGTCAATAAAAATTTAAAATTCATTCTTGGCAATAGATGAAAAAATTAGTAAAAGAAAGATTTGCACCTTCATAATATGATGCATAAGAAGGTGGAGAACACAAATATAATACATATCGATATGTGAAGCAACAAAAAAGTCAGAGAACGAAATAGTGACAATTTCATCTTCTTATGCAAATGGGGTTGGTAATCATATGGGGTTGGTGGTATTTTTGGTTGCTAGTTACTTTTAATTTTGATGATTTTCAACCATTATTTGATCTTGAAGATTTTCAACTGCCAAATGATGACACTTTTTGTGGTACCTTTCTTGACAATCATGAAAATTTGAAGAACTTAGTAGATGTGCACTATGGAATCGTTGACGGGGTTAAATCTGATTATTTGGGAAAATTTAATACTAATATAGTTCTAAAATTCTTGAGTTGACAACAAGTCAATAGGATGCAGATGTTGAATTGACTATACCGGATATTTGTCAAATAAAATTTGTGCTCTGTTTAGTATGATGAAAAAATAGAAGAATAAAAAATAAATGAAATTTAAGTGATTTGATTTGATGCTGAGTTGCTTGAATTTACTTGTTCAATGAGTTGATTTGTTTTATTTTGGAATGATTGTACTGTGAAATTAGTTCAAATTATTAGTTTAAGTACATTTAATTGTTAAAAATGTATTGATTTGTTCAACTAATTTCATTTTCATCAATTTTTTGATGAAATTTTGTTGCAAATTGAATTTGTTAGAATTAGTGGATGTAAGTTTGCTTTATGTTTTTCTCAATTTTGTTGGAAATTGAATTTGTTATAATTTTTTTACGAGTAATATAGTACCTTCAGATACGGGTAAATAATAGTTTGCCTATAAGATACCAACTACATTTATGATTCTATTTCATTTGTTTTTGTTTATCATATCTTTTCAAACTATTTTCAAATTTGAATTTCTTATAACCTTTTGGATAAATTGCACTGTTAATTCCTGAGGGTTGCCACTTGTTGTACTTTCATCCATGAAGTTCTAATTTCATCCTACATGTTAACACATTGACTGATTTTCGTCCTTACCTCTACCTGTTGTCCAAAAGAGTGATAGATAAGAGCACGTGAGTGGCATGTGATGGAATTAGAAGGGCAATGCATTCCTTTTATGTTCCTTCTCGCCCATTTAAATGGTTACTTGCGTTGGACCATATCAACCAAAAACCAATTTGATGAAGACGAAGATGAAGAGCAAGGGGGCAGCTAGGCGAAGGAAGAAGAACCTAGAACATACATCTTGCTATTATGAGAGAAGGACACAAATGTTTACTTCATGGACATATCAAAATCTCAGTAGGAGATTCCTTTGTAGTGAGAATCATGCGGTAAATTTCACTTGGTTTGTTTTTAATTACTACACTTTTTCGAATGTTGGGGCATATGTATGTAAAGTGGAGGATGTGAGTATTTTGAATGATATGACCCTACATGTGTAACCAGTCAAAGAACATCATTCAAAAGCTTGTTGGAGGGAATCAAATGAATGGAAGCATAGTGGACAAGAACTCGACACAGAGAGAACATGTTGTGGATCTTGCTAATTTTGACCTAGGTGTTGGTGTTGATGAACTGGAAGAACTCAGATGTGAACAAGAGCAAAGCGAGTAATCCTGCACCTGGTTACCAACTAGGGAATTAGTAATCTCATAGGAATCTCATTTGGTGTTTGGTTAGTCTAGAAGGGTATGTTATTTATGTAATGTGGTGTTTTATTTAGTCCAAAAGGGTTTGTTGTGATGTTTAAAAAGGTGTGTTGTTTATGTAATTGACAAAAGGCATTTGTGCCATTTAATTATCAATGAAGTTCTCTTGTCTTCATTTTCAAAGACTTTCTTATTTGGTGGAATGTACTATGTAAAACAGAAGAATACAAGAGGCAAAAGAGGTGTGCATAAACAAAAGAGTGGTTTATACCATTAACAAAACATAGACAATGTTCAAGACTTAAATCATATAGACAACGTTCAAGATACCCAATTCTATTACATTGTTTGCAAAAACAGCTACTTCCAGTGCATATTCAAAATGCAGGACAACACATGCCTAAATGACAAAAGTCCTGTATCCTACCCCCTTTCCCCTTGGTCTTGACACCACCATTAACTAGATTCCCTTAATTCTTTCTTTTTTGTACTATTGATTGAAGTGATGCAAGGGTCGTACAACTCTGACCATACCACAAGAATGGTGTTAGATTTGGACTTGAACGAGGTGGTATGAACTGTTGTGATGATGTTGATGGGATGACATTCTTTTGACTTGAATAGAATGAAATGTAGCTTAGAAGTGTTGTAAATACTCATGTGATGATAGTTAAACATCTAAAAAAGTGTGGCAACTCACCTGTAACTTCTCTCTCCTATGTGAGTGAACACCTTTTCCAACCTTTTCTCTGGTCACCTCTATTATATTAGTATTTGTACTTTCACTCTTATTCTTAGGTCTTCGTGTAGAAGCTAGACCAGCCCTAGAAGTTGGACCAGTCCCATAAGTTGGACTAGTCTCTGAACTTCTCCTTTTCATGTTTGTCCTACAACTTCTTTTGTTGTGTTCCTTTTCACCACACTTGTCATACCTCAATGAATCTGAAATTTTCTCATTTTTGTGAAATTTTCCCATAACTGTTGCATTGTCTTTCTCAACCCCAGTTCTTTCATTGATTATGTCAACCCCAACACTTCAATTCTCTCTATCAACTCCAAAATTTTCAGTGACTCTATCTACATTGCTTGTGTCCTAAGCACATTCATTCCTTTCTTCCACATTTGTATCAACCTTGTTACCAACAACCTCATGATACTCTAGCAAATATGGTTGCTTATTATTTCTTGTACTAGATACAGTAGTTACTTGACTGTTCTCTAAACCATTCAAATCTTCATCATTGATCTCCTCAATAATAACAGAATGTCTAATCTCAGTATTTACATCATTTCCTACCCCCTTCTTATCAAATACATCAAATAGTTACTTATGTTTAATGTATACATCATAGGGATATAGGGAATTAAACGTTGTGAACACTTGAGAATCAGTATATAGGAAAACAAACCATTATCCAAATTCTTGCGTGGCATCTAATAATGGTACCTGAGAATCTCTTATTCATATCCTAACTCCCTTGCCATCTCATCAAGTTCCAGTAAAGACATGATGTTTGGATGTCTGTGGTGGCAAAAGTTGACCCTACCCCTAACATATTCCTTATGTGGGTTGTCTCAAAACACCATATCATGATGCAATTTTAGTGTAAAATATTTGGAATCTAGGCTGTACAAAACATAATGGGGACTCTGAAATTATCAAATACTGTGACCTCTTCACCAAAATATAGTTGAATTTCTAAATACATTTAGACTAATTTGGGGAACACATGCATATAAAACAACAAACTCATATAAAATAATCAAAGATTGCATGCAAGAACTACTTCGTCTATGTGCATATCATGACATTTTTTCGAGTAAAATTGATGTTTCAAAAAGTGAATAATAGATTTGTTCAAGATTTAATGGTACTTGATTTACCGTATTTTGGATTTAAGTTGTCATCTTCGCATTGTCGACAATTAAATCAGCCAACCATTACAAAAGTGTTTGAAACCCTAACGAGGTGAGAAACAATCCATCGATTTGACTTTCTCACGTGGCTGAAGAGTTTAAATGGGCGAAAAGGAACATAAAATGACTGTATGGCCCTTCTAACTCCATCACATGCCGCTCATATGCCCTTTTTCGTCAGTCTTTTGGACGGCAGTTAGCGGTAAAGACGAAAGTTAGTCAATGTGTTAATATATTAGATAAAATTAGAACTTCGAGGGTGAAAGTGCAACAAGTGACAAACCTTATAGATTAACAGTGCAATTTATCCTAATCTTTTTTAGCTAAGACACATTTAAGAGTTTAATTTTTTTTTAAAAAAAATTTAGGGCATTGATAAGTAACCAACAGTGAGATGGTCAGAATAGGTGTGCAGTTGGCGGTAGGAGCTGAGCATAGTGTGGTGATAGAAAAAAAAATTATAAATTTCTTGTATGGGCGAATGATAATATAATTTTAAGATAATGTCATATTGATTGAAAATTTGATTAAAAATAAGGATTTAATGATATGGTGGTGTTTTTTTACTTCAGTTTTATTCATTCAAAGTTTAATACTCACTATAAAAATCCTAATTTTTCTAAGGGTTAATCTCAACTTGCACCATAAAAGATCATTCAAATATTAATTTATACTATCAAAGTTTAAAAGTATTAATTTATACCCTAAAAGATATAAATACATATCAATGTGAACCTGAAATTAAAGTTTGTGTTAATTATAAATTGCATCCCTCAAAATTTAAATATTTCACATTCATGATCCAAAAAGAATTCCATTTATTAATGTTTATTAAATAGTTCTCAATTGTATTGTATTATAATATTTTCGTGTCGTGTTTGAGTCAATAAAAAAATATTTTTAACATAAAATATTTTCATGTCGAGTCAATTGCTTTGTGTCTTGTACTTCACATTTACGACAATTCAAATAATATTATTTATTATTTTTAAAAATTAAAAAATACCAATGTTTTGTCTACAGTTATGTTATTCGTATGTAATTTTAATTTGATCGTACAATCAGAAGATTTGTGTCTAACTATATACAAAAAATAGTTATTTAACAAGTATTGTATGGAAAAAAAATGTATTTTATAATTTTTTTTAATTTTAAAAAATATTTTTTATTAACTCGAACACGACATGAATATATTATGATAATATACAATTAAGAGTTACTTAACGAGCATTAATGGATGAAATTCTTTTTTGATCATAAATATAAAATATTTAAACTTGAAAGGTATAATTTATAATTAATCTAAATTTTTTTAACGGAAAAATGGATAGAGTTAGCCCTGGTACACATTCATATGAATTTATATATTTTAGAGTATAAATTAATATTTTTAAACTTTGAGAGAGCAAATTGAGATGTCAATGATCTTTCGGTGCGCAAATAATTAGGGAGAATTACACTTAGACTCTCTAGGTTTTTATCTTAATTATTTAGACCTTCTGACATTTAAAATATTATACACAGACCCCCTGAAATTTGTACGCGCGTAACACTTAGACCCCAAGTGTGAATATATCAGTTAATAAATTATACTAGACCCCTTGAAGTTTATAAATATAGAATATTTATATCCTTTAAGTTTAATATATTATGTTTAAATCAAAAATACTTGAATGAAAGATAAAATATCAAATATTTTAAAATTTACAACTAAAATTCATGTTCTATTGTATAATTTTTTGAAATAAAATCAATTATATTGTCTATTAGAATTTAATTTGGTAATTTAAAAGACTAAATTAAAATACCAAACTACTCCAATTAAAGTTAAAAGATATTGTGTCTGTTATAATTTGATCAATTGTTTAAATTTTTAGTTTTATTTTAAAAGATAGTATAATTATATATTAACTATGATTTTTTTTAAAAAAAAATTGGCTTTTACTTTTGATTTTATTTCAATAAATGCTATAATAAAATATGAATTTTTGATTTAAAATTCATGTTCTATTATGAATGACTTAGACCTCTTGTTTAATTTTATAGTTTTATTTCAATAAATAATATAATTGTATATTAATTATGATTTTTTAAGAAAAAATAAAATTTTATTTTAATAAATGATACAATAGAATATAAATTTTAGTTGTAAAATTTAAAATATTTTATATTTTATATTTGATCGGAGTATTTTTAATATAAGTATAATATTTTAAATTTAAAGAGTCTAAGTATTATATATCTATAAATTTTAGAGAGTTTAAGTATAATTTATTAGGCCAAATCTCATGGAGTTATGCGTGCACAAATCTCTGAAAATTTGTGCGTTCAAATATCAGAGACGTGAGTGATATAACGTCAAACCACAGTCCTTAATAATCAACAATCCCTCGTCGACTTTGTCTGTGAAGGCAACCCCCATAATTCATTAACTCCTAAAGCCCTAATTCCGCTTTTCATCTAATTGATTGTAGCATTTACATCTGGGTGGTTTGATTTCGTCCTCTCGTTTCTATTATATCTGAATCGTTGTCCTTGTCCGTCACTTAGGCAAGGTAAGACTTTCAATTTGTAGTCTTTATCAGTCTTATGGGGTTAATTTCAATTTGTTTCATCAGTCTTAAGTTTCTTTCTTTGAATTTTCTTGCTGTTTCAGAGCTACACTAATTATGGCTGCCAACCATAATGGACTACCCACACCGACGGCTAATTAACGTGTAATTAATTAGCTTTCCTGAGTATGACTCTGTACAGATATGTATTGATCTGTTTTTTCCAAGAATTAATTCGTTTTTGTTTGATATTGATTGCAAGGTTTATTAAATTTGCTTAGCTGGAATTTGGTAAGTTGGACTTTTTGTGGTGTTTTTTTTCTTTGGGAGCTTATCTGGAATATTATTGGTTATTATCCTGCAATTAATGGGTATGGCAGAGAAGGAGATGGAGTATAGGGTTGAAATGTTTAACTAGTAAGGTCTTCTTCCTTGCAAATTTTGCAACATCCTATAAGTTTATTTTTTTTTTGTGTCCAGACATTCTGATATGGGTAATCATTCCCTTAATGGAAGATGAATTTTATCAAGGTAATCATTTTTTTTTTTGGGGAGGGGGATGGGGAGGGGATTTGATCCCTTGACCTTATGAAGTTAAAACCTTCACAAGGTAAGAAGTACCATTAGATCAAAGACCCGTTGTTTATCAAGATAAAAGTTTATGTAACTTTGTCTCTCCCACTTTATATTGGTAGAGAACCACTTCAAATACAATCTGTCTATTGTAGATCTATGGAAAGGTAATCTAGATTTGAAGGTGACGAAGAAATCTATAACTTAAAGAGAGCCCAGCCCTTTGTACCAAATAAATTTATCTCAATGTAGCCTAACATCTATTTTTTTCTGTAAACTTATAGAGTTTGCACTTATAACGAGCTTTGGGAGAGGTAAATCAATTGATTCCCAAAATTTAATACTAGCCAATTTCCAATTCCAAGATTGAAGATAAAAAAAAGTAGCTAAAGAAGCAATATCAAAAGATCCCAAATGTTGAACCAATTTTCACACAACATCTAATAAATGTTCTGCTTCTTGAACAGCTTTTGCATATTTTCATACAGCTTTGTTCTTCTTCTTCTTCTTTTTTTCTTTCCCTACAATGCTTCAAACACTAATGCATGGCTATAATAGTCTTTTTTTTTTTTCCAATTATTTAAGGTAATTATGTTGCTCTTATTGAAATTCTAAATAGATTTACTCTTCTTTAACAATACCATTTCTAGGATTGCATAAACTGAATTCAGTTGAGCTCCTTCATCTACATCATGAGACCTCAAGTGCTTATTGACCTGATCAAGCAGTATATCAGAATGATAGGATGAATTCTTGTAAGTTATTCAAGGAACTATATGAAGAACCTCCTTTCTGCACACAAGCTTCAATCTTGTCCTTCATATCAATCGCTCTTTGCCTCATTTCATCCCCTTCTTTATCCACCATAAGTCTTCTTATAGCTCTCTCGATATCCCCCCTCTCCGAATCATTCTCCATTTCTAGGCCTACCTTCCATATGTAACTCAGGTACCTTGCATTCACTTTTTGGTCTACAAAACAGGGCTTACATATCATAGGAACCCCCTCAGAAATACTTTCCAAGGTTGAATTCCAACCACAGTGGCTCCAAAACCCTCCCACTGCACCATGTGCCAACACCTCCTTTTGGGGTGCCCATTTAACTATGCAGCTTCTTTCTCCAACTTTTTCTTCAAAACCTTCCGGCAGGAGCTCAGTAAGTTCTGAGCCACTAACTGAGCCAGGTCGAATCACCCACAAGTAAGGTTGGCCACTGTTGGCTAGACCCCAAGCCATTTCGATTAGATCTTTCTTGTCCATGATTGTCAAGCTACCGAAGCTTACATAGATAACTGATCTAGGAGCTTGCTTGTCAAGCCATTCAATGCAATTGGTGTCCTCTTTTAAAAAGCTAGTGGATGTGGCTGAAGCCAATTTGTGCAAAGGGCCTATCAAAAAGAATGGAGCTTGATAATGTTGTTGGAGCTTTGACACCGCTGATTGCTCAAGGTAGTCCACTGTGTTGCAAATTATGGCCGGAGAAGTTGTAAAATTGCTGAGAAGTTGAGTAAGTTTTACTGAATCTTCAGAGGTTTCAAAACCAGACAAGGGTAAATCCTTAAACCTGAGAGGATGAAGTCCTGGCACCAGGTCCTGTGCCTTAGAATCTGCACTACCATGTGATAGCATCAAGTATAAGTAGAACTTTAACTGTAATTATGTAGATTGATAATGTGTGAAGTGAGATTTTGATACTGAGGATGCATTATAGCCCCTTCTGTTGGGCAAGGAATTGGTATTAGTTAAGGGGATTCTGAACTGATCAGCTACAACTCAATACTAAAACTAAGGACTTTATTCTATTATATCACCCACTCATTCGACAAATAATCGCATATAAAATGGCCAATTCCATAATATCAAAGTATACCATTCTACCCTATCTTTAAGCTCGAGGACTCACAAGGGTTAAATAATTCTTGTCACTCTGCTCTAGTTTGGTGAAATATTGCTTGCCTTATTATTTTTCTTTTACCAAACAATTTACTCGGCATTTGTAAGCCATTCCGCAACATTCATCTTCTACCTTCCCTGTCTTCACAAAATCTCACATAAAACAGTAATTATTCCCCATGCTTGATCAAATTCAGTTATCATTATCTAAATTAGTTGACCATTCCCCTGAAAGTTCGGAGACTTTCTTTTTTCCAATATTTTGTTATTAGCATGAATAGTGTTTTAATCAGCAATATGTTTCTTTAATTTGTTTTTGATGCGACCCATGATTCATGTTTTTCCTAACTGTTAATCCTTTTTTTTAGTACAATCTTTTCCCTTTTGTTTCAAGCATCTCTTCAGGGTGACAGTTTCTATATGTACCTTGAAAGGGGAGATGACCTTCTGCGTGGAGCCGAAGAATAGAATGGTAAGCTAGCAAGTTGAGAGCACAGCTGGTGCGGAACAGTATACTTGGAAGGTTCAGATGACTAGCCACAGCTTTGGAAAAGTACATGAATGAATCGTAGATGATGCAACTGACCTGTTCGTTTGGTGCCTTTTTTCCCACCATTTGAGCCAAGTTTTCTTGGAGTGGTGCTTTGCAGTTATTGTTAATGGCTAATAATGAATCCTGTGGGTTCTTGAATGAGGTCTCATGTTCAGTTAAGTTGTCCGAGATGGGTAGGAAGATGAATTCAGGATGGTTTGAAGGATTAGGAGAATTGAATTCTGTGTGGGCGACGACGATGGAGAAACCCCTGGAGTGAAGTATGGTACCCAGTTGAAGCATCGGAGTCATGTGCCCTTGCAATGGAGTCGGGACTAACACCACCACTCGTCCATGCCTTTGTGTTTCTTGATTCTTCATCTCTCTCTCTCTCTCTCAGAAACACACACAGACACACAGGTGTGCAGAATACAAAATAGGAAGTGTACGACATCAAGAATTTTAAACTGTTAATCATAGGTGAGGTAGGGAATATTTGTTTTTTGATAAATTGCAATGACATCCGTTGTAGGTTGATATAATTACAGAGACATCCCCGTTATTATCTGAAATATTACTATACTAGATTTTTTTTGGTAAATTACAATGACATCTTTTGTATATTGATATAATTACAGAGACGTCCCCGTTATTATCTGAAATATTACTATCCTCTCTTGTAGTTTGTATATTTATTTCACATACTACCTCTACCATTGGGACCGTTACTAAAACTATAACACTTATCTATTTTAGCAAATATGTCTTCTATAATACCTATTTTACGCTCCACTAAAATTACTTGGCTTACTCTTAATACTAAACATATAATTACTTCTAATTTAGATAATTGTTACCAACTTCTACACAATTACCAATAGACATTTGAACTAATGGTATTTTTTACCTTATAAAAATTGTCTTCTTAAGGTCAAAGGTTCAAACCCCTCTCCCTTCCCCCTCTCCTCCTAGAAAAAAAAAACTTCTACACAATCATTTTTCTTCATTTTTTATCTATTTCTTTTATCTCATACCACAAACCTTCAACACCAGTCCTCGCAGCCCAGTACCACCCTATCCATCACAATCATCCAAAACATTAAACATGAAGTTGAGGTAATACACACAAACCTAAAAGATTAATTCTAGTTAATATTGTAAAATTATAAGAAATCCAAACTAAACTAAATTTCACCTCAATTCTCATCCAATAATACCCATTTCAATCTCACTCAAATTCAATCATGTTTGATCAAAATGAAAATTCAATTGAAATTCAAAATAAAAAAAAAAATTTAGCCCAAAACACAACACCATTGAATTGAAATTTAAAAAAGAAAGAATAAAAATATAACCAAGACCCCCACCAATTCGCATTAAATCAAACTAGTTACAATCGGAATCAACCAATTGAATCACTATAAAATCACAAAAAATTTATTAAATTCATCCATTACCCATAAAAATCACACAACCCCCCTCCCCCTCCCCCTCACCCCCCTAAAAAAAATTTGGTCACCCATCATTATCGGTCATTATTGATTTTTNGCGACGATGATGGAGAAACCCCTGGAGTGAAGTATGGTACCCAGTTGAAGCATCGGAGTCATGTGCCCTTGCAATGGAGTCGGGACTAACACCACCACTCGTCCATGCCTTTGTGTTTCTTGATTCTTCATCTCTCTCTCTCTCTCTCAGAAACACACACAGACACACAGGTGTGCAGAATACAAAATAGGAAGTGTACGACATCAAGAATTTTAAACTGTTAATCATAGGTGAGGTAGGGAATATTTGTTTTTTGATAAATTGCAATGACATCCGTTGTAGGTTGATATAATTACAGAGACATCCCCGTTATTATCTGAAATATTACTATACTAGATTTTTTTTGGTAAATTACAATGACATCTTTTGTATATTGATATAATTACAGAGACGTCCCCGTTATTATCTGAAATATTACTATCCTCTCTTGTAGTTTGTATATTTATTTCACATACTACCTCTACCATTGGGACCGTTACTAAAACTATAACACTTATCTATTTTAGCAAATATGTCTTCTATAATACCTATTTTACGCTCCACTAAAATTACTTGGCTTACTCTTAATACTAAACATATAATTACTTCTAATTTAGATAATTGTTACCAACTTCTACACAATTACCAATAGACATTTGAACTAATGGTATTTTTTACCTTATAAAAATTGTCTTCTTAAGGTCAAAGGTTCAAACCCCTCTCCCTTCCCCCTCTCCTCCTAGAAAAAAAAAACTTCTACACAATCATTTTTCTTCATTTTTTATCTATTTCTTTTATCTCATACCACAAACCTTCAACACCAGTCCTCGCAGCCCAGTACCACCCTATCCATCACAATCATCCAAAACATTAAACATGAAGTTGAGGTAATACACACAAACCTAAAAGATTAATTCTAGTTAATATTGTAAAATTATAAGAAATCCAAACTAAACTAAATTTCACCTCAATTCTCATCCAATAATACCCATTTCAATCTCACTCAAATTCAATCATGTTTGATCAAAATGAAAATTCAATTGAAATTCAAAATAAAAAAAAAAATTTAGCCCAAAACACAACACCATTGAATTGAAATTTAAAAAAGAAAGAATAAAAATATAACCAAGACCCCCACCAATTCGCATTAAATCAAACTAGTTACAATCGGAATCAACCAATTGAATCACTATAAAATCACAAAAAATTTATTAAATTCATCCATTACCCATAAAAATCACACAACCCCCCTCCCCCTCCCCCTCACCCCCCTAAAAAAAATTTGGTCACCCATCATTATCGGTCATTATTGATTTTTTTTTTCATCAGTGGTTGCCGCCAATTGAATAAGCCACAATTTATAGATTTTGTTTGCTATGAATTATTCAACAAAAATTACCAAAAAGTAACACTGCATTTACCACGAGCGAGTGTCCCCGGTGGTGATGATGTGTATGGGTGGGTATTGGTGATATGAGGGAGTAAATATTGAATGTAACGGTGAGACTATATAACCATTGATGATATTGCAGAAATTATCCCAGGAATCATATTTGGACCAACATTGACACTCACACTCAAGTGAAAAAATAAAAGAACAATCACACAAGACAAAGTAATTTACGTGGTTCGGCAATTGCTTACGTCCACGACAATAACGATTGAATGTTTTCACTATTTGGAGTAAACATAAAGTACAAGAACAATTATTGTAAACCTCACAAGTACTCACCTCAACAAAATAGGATCACTCTGATATCTCACTGGTATCACTCACAGATCTGAGAACACTAAAATTGATATCTAATATCACTCAGTAGAACTCATAACTCTCAAATGTTTGAGCTCTCAATTTTTCTGATGCTTAACTTCTGTCAGGACCTCTCTTTATGTAGGAAATTGGGAGAGGAAATGGACAAAGCTCCTTATCAATGCAAATCTGCACCTGAACTGCGCATCTACGCCTAAGCCAATTTTCTTGCGTAGCCCACATGTAGCCTACCAGTGTCCATGACCTCTGCTATTCATTTTGTCAAAATGATGGGGCCCCCTATGTCCATGCAACAACTTTGTCATGACTTCCTAGCCAAAAGGTTCTGGCCACATTAAATGCTTTGTGCTAGCCCCAAAGTCAATAATTCTCCACCTTGCATAAAAACCATTCAAGCCATCTAGAAAATCTTTTTCCAATTGTCGTCCCTGATGCGCCTAGTGAGGCACTCAAACTTGTTGGATGTTGATCAAGTCCAAGCAATGTTCGAACTTAATTGTTGGAATCACCTTGGTCAACATAGCAGCCGGGTTATCTTTGGTGCCAACCTTCTGTAAAGAAATATCTCCATTATCGATAATATCGCAAACAAAGTGAAACCAAACATCAATATGCTTGGTCCTTGCATGGTGAACTTGGTGTTTCGCCAAGTGAATGGCGCTTTGACTGTTACAAAAGATACTAATATGCTTTTTTGATATTCCTAAATCACAAATCAAACCCCCCCGCCATAAAGCCTCCTTGACAGCCTCAGTCATTGCCATGTACTTTGCCTCAGTCATTGATAGAGCAACTGTTGGTTGTGGCATAAACCTCCAACTGGCTAGACCTTAGGCTGTTGTGAAAACATAGCCTGTTGTAAACCTTCGCTTGTCTAGTTCACTAGCATAATCAGAATCCACATAACCACTGATATGAGACTTTGAACTATTGTCCCACTGATACACCAATCTTATATTCAAAGTACCACGAAGATATCGTTGTAACCATTTCACAGTCTGCCAATGTTCCTTATCAAGATCTGCCATGTACCAACTCAACATATTGATCGCATGTGAAATATCCGAACAAGTGCATACCATAGCATACATCAGGCTTCCAACTGCCCTCACATATGGAACATGAGACATATACTCACGCTCCTTCCTATTACTTGGAGACATAGCTGCTGAGAGTCTAAGGTGGGAAGCTAAAGGAGTACTCATAGGCTTTGAGTTCTCCATATCAAAATGAGAAGGTATTTTCTTCAAGTACTTCTGTTGTGACAAACACAATCTACCATTCTTCATGTCTCTAAGAATTTTCATGCCAAGAATATTCCTAGCAGTACCTAGATCCTTTATCTCAAACTCTTTGTTGAGTTAAGACTCAACTTGTTGATTTTCACCATGCTTTTAGTAGTAATGAGCATGTCATCAACATATAAAAACAAGTAGACAAAAGAACCATCTAGTAGCTTCTTGAAGTACGCACAATGGTTATACTCATTTCTAGTATAGCTTTGTTCTAACATGAACATGTCAAACCTCTTATACCACTGTCTTGGCGATTGCTTCAGTCCATACAATGACTTTCTCAGTTTGCACACATGAGATTCTTTACCAATAACCTTGAAACCTGCAGGCTGAGTCATGAAAATTTTCTCCTCCAAATCCCCATGGAGAAATGTAGTCTTGACATCCAACTGCTCTAACTCAAAGATCAAACTGAGGTACGATGGCCAATAACACACGGATTGAAGTGTGTTTCACTACTGGTGAAAATACCCCATTGTAATCCACCCCTTCTTTTTTGTGCATAGCCCTTGGCGACTAACGTGTTTTGTATTTGATGTCATCTATTACTAGAGAACCTTCCTTCTTTGCATACACCCATTTGCACCCAATTGGTCGCTTTCCCTTCAGTAATTTCACGAGTTCCCAAGTATGATTCTTGTGAAGATAATTCATATCTTCATTCATGGAGAATTTTCATTCCTTGTAATTATTGTTGTTTTTTGCCTCCCAAAATGTCAATGGCTCATCACTCCCTATGGTAAGTGCATAAGATATCATATCTTCAAAATTATAATGAACTGGTGCTTTAACTGTCCTTTTGGTCCTCCCAGTTGCTAAAGATTGTTGTTGTGGTTGCTCTTCTGATGTCCCTTCGTCTGGAAAAATATATTCTAGTGTACTAAGCTCCACCTCCACAGGATCACCCTTTTCCTCCTCTATTTTAATATCCTTCTACTTGCTAGAATTTAGCATAACAAACTCATC